AATTAAGGCACAATATTATACCTTTTTTTTTAATAAGAAAAATAAAATATACAAATAATCAACTATTTATTTACATTGTTACACTTCATAGTTATACTTTAACTCTTTTACAATGATGTGTGGTTTTTTATTTTTATTTGTGTCTGTGTAGTATGTACAGTGTACACGATAAGAAGTCGTTGGTGCATTGGGGAGATTAAAGTTTAAAATTCCAAGTATTTAGTTTTGAAAAGCACCGGGACACAAAAAAAAAATTAAGGAAAACGGGATTTCTATACTCAAAATCGGTCTTCGAAAAAGTCGATTTTGGTTTTTGGTGTAATTACTGTAACTCTAAAACAATTGACCGCAGTTACATGCAATTTTCACTGTTTATATTAGCATTTTCTATACACGATAAAATTTTCAAACTATTTTGATTTGTTTTGCGCTGGTGAAGTGGTTACGGACATTTTCAGTTTCTATTTGTTTAAGTTTTTTTTCTTTAAATGTCAATAAAATTTTATTCATTGGGTCAAATATCGTAAAAATATAATACAAAGCTCCTGATATATTGTTACATTAGCAGTTTAACAATTATAAACATAGCACAAATTTATAAGCATTTAAAGTTTGAAATTCTTCAAATTTAAAATAAAAAAATTAAAAAAATTAACAAATTAAAAAAAAAACATGATTTCTTATAATGCCTTGAACAAAAGTCCACGAGGACGAGGGGGATCTGATCTCCACATCGCCACCAGGGCTCCAGCCCCCTTGTACAGGGCATTATGACCCTACATCCACTGATTATCAATCATCAATCTAGCCAACGCCATATGTACCTATGGACTATGATATACCTAGTTTAGTATAATATAGATATCTAGGTATAAGAACCTTAAAAATGTGATTAAAATAATATTTATATTACACGGCCCGAGTTTTAATATTTATTTTGAAACTAACTAAATGTAAGTTAAATTAGGCCTAAAAGAATATACTATAGACAAAAAAGTAAAAACTAGGTAATGAGGAATGGGGGCATCCACCATGCATATGGTGAGAATGTTTTGATAGGGAACTCATTGATTCCAGAATCCAAGGGTCATACAGGGTGCATAAGTGTCATTGTACGAGACTTTTTTTTTTTAACAATTATGGATCGCGGTACACGATAAGTAGTCGAAATAATGCTTCGATTTTCGACTTCAGTATCTTGTTCCATTGGAAAGTGAATATCGTTGGTGCATCGGGGAGGTAAAAATTTAAAATTCCCCGTACTTTTCAAAAGCGCCAAGAAAAACAAAAGAAAAATTAAGGAAAAACGGGAATTTATACGCAAAATCGATTTTTCAGAAAATTGAATTTGGTTTTTGGTGTAACTTTAAAACAAATGACGGTAGATACATGAAATTTTCAATGGTTGTTTATATTTGCATTTTGTATACACGATAACATTTTCAAAATATTTTGAACTGTTTAGGGACATTTTGATTTTTCATTTTTTTTAGTTTTTTTTTCTAGAAATATCAATAAAATTTTATTTGTTGGTTAAAAAAACTTGAAAATTTAATAAAAGGCTCCTAGTATATTGTTTCAAAGGCAGATGAAAAATATTAAAAATCGTTAGTCACAGTTTTTTTTTATAAGCATTTAAAGTTCAAAAATTGACAAAATATGGAAAAATCACGAAAATTAGCAAATTATTTTGAGTTAAGAATTCGTAAAAATTTTTCCTTTTAAATCTAAGATTTGAAAATGTAATACAAGATTACTCATAAGTTTGTCTACCTATATCAATAAAAAAATCTCTACCGAACAATCAAATTAAATTTTTATGAGCGTTTGAAATTCAAATTTTTACAACATTGGATGTTCACTCGATTTCTCATGTTGCGTTTTCCTTATTTTGTTGTTATTCATAAACGAATAACTATAGATACATGAAAATTTCACTGAATGTTCAGATTAGAATTTCCTATACACCATACAATTTTGAAAATATTTTGACTCTTTTTGAGCTGTTTACGGATATTTTCATTTTTCAATTTTTTTAGTTTTTTTTTTCTATAAATATCAATAAAGTTTTATCTGTTGGGCCAAAAAGTGTAAAAATTTAATACAAGGCTCCTGATATATTGTTACAACATCAGTTGAAAAATATTAAAAATAAATAGGCACAATTTTTTTTTATAAGCATTTAAACATCGAATTTTGACAGAATTTTTCATAATCTCGAAAATTAATGAATAATCATCGTAATTAATAAATTATAAAATGTTCAGTTTTTATAGCTAAGGATTGAAAATTTAAAACAAGATTCCACGTAAGTAGTTAATTCTCTTACCGAAAAATCTAAAAAATATACAATCACAGTTTATTTTTATAGTTATTTTATGTTCAAATTTGGACGAAATTACATATTAAAAAACCTAGTTATTTTGTTGTGATTATTTAATATTAATCGTGGGTACCTACTTGAAACTTTTAAAGTGCACTATTATATATCTATGATAGTATCAGGGTTTGTTATTGATGTTGATGTATAACGTGTTATAAGTACCTAATGGATATTGTGATAATGTGATATGATTAATTTGGAATTTATTATAGGTCAATTTTTTTTTTTAATACCATAGATATGTATATAATTTGTCTTAAACCTAGACTGACGTACCGTCTTCGCTCAGAATCGTTTTTCTTATACAATGATATTGTATCATTGAATTCAAATTTAATATCATCCATTATACAGTGACCCACTTGTAACCTACTGTACAGCAGAGCGACATCCACTTACCCACCTTTTTTTTTATAATATTTTCAAAATTTTACCTTATCCTACCTAATTCTTACAACACATTATTGTGGTTTATAACTGGGCTTCTAAATTCTATATTATACTATTATATAGCCTTTTCTAATATCTTTTATTTATATTTATATATTTTCTGGAACAATAAATTAAAACACAAAATGTATCAATAAATTATACTTAGTTATTTTTTGCTTATGAAAGTTTCAAATTTTCAATAATAACTAATAGGTAATCGAGGTAATTTTAATGGGAAAATTCAATTCTTTATTGTTCAGTGTTCAATGTTCATATATAAATCATATACTTATAGCTTATGGCGCTATGAAAACGAGGGGAGTTAACTGCTGATATATTATGTATAGTTTATATTATACCTACAAGATAAAGTAACCGACGATCTCTATTCTCTGGGTTCAATAGTATTAATGATTTTAATATTTTACGGCAGACATATTATATCCACATACACACACAATTTAACACTTGTACCATTGCAAAATCAATACATTCTTCATTCCGCTCAGAATTAAAAATGAATAAATAAACTTAACTTAACTTAAGCATAATTTATTTATAAATGGAAAAAATAGGGTAAGTATGGATGCTCTGCTGTAGGTACATTAGGTGTATCTTGTCTATAGAGTCACTGACCACTGTAATGGACGTGTTAAATTTGAATTAATATCAAATTCATATCGCAATAATCATTGTATAGGTAGGTATACGAAAAACGATTCCAAGCGAAGACGGTCTATAATATTACTAAGGACATTTTATGATATAATTATGCTTAAAGTAATTTATTATACTATTATATACTAGTACTACACCGCTACAATAGATTAAATTATATTTTTGCCAAAAAAATTGCATTTGAAAATGTCTATATGAGTACCGTATAGTAGAGTATACAATAAATAATAATGTACCCACTCTAAAAGTCTCAAGTACCCAAGAATAATATTTTAAATTTACAATTAAATAACTAAAATCGTTATTCTTTGTTTTATATGCAATTTTGTCCAAATTTGAGAAATTTAAAAAATAACTCTGTTTATATATTTTTTAGATTTGTTGGTTACATAGTATGAACTATTAATGAGAATCTTTGTTTTAAATTATCTATCCTTATCTATACAAATTGAACATTTTATAATTTTTTAACTACCTACAAATTTGAAAATTTTCAAGAAATTGATAAATTGATAATCTTGGATACATTTTTAAAATTGCAAATTATTGTTTGTTCAAAATTGTACATTTTGAAATACTCATAACTTGCTTTGAAATTAAAATAAAATAAAAAGTATATGAGATGCCTTAGATAATAGTATTACCTTTAAATTTTATACGAGGGCAATTCACTCTAGTTTTAAACTATAACAGAGCTAAAGTACTTTTCTGAGCTCTTTGCAAGAGGATCTTTAATATTTATCAACTATACTATTACGTATAACAATTTATAGGGAAACTTGTATTAATTTATCAAGCTTTTTAACCTAACGAATAATAGAATAATTTTTATACAATTCTAAATTGAAATCATTTCCTTATTTTCGTGATTTTAATTAATTCATGTCATTGATTTTGGGTTTTTTTTGGTTATCATGAGTGGTAGGTATGCCTTCATTATTATTGCACAATAAATTCATAAATTCATAAATGTAAGATGCATTTCAGAAATTTCATATTTTTATTTAGGAACTTGCCTATTATCAAAAAATACGGATAAGTAGTCAATATTATATTTTTATAGCGCTTTTATTAATTTTGCCCAAAATTAAATTATTAATTTGTTTTTTACGAGACTACATATCAATTTCTGAAGTTAAAATCAATTATAATACAGTAGGTATATTCTTTATATAGCTATAAGTTATAGTTCTAAGTTATAGCACTATAGCAGTATAAACAAAATCAGTAGTTATAATAAAATAAACGTAGCTAGTCGGTATATAATTTATGTATTTTATTTATTCAATACAAATTAAAAACACGATTATAGGTATAGTGGTACTTCTAAAACATAATATATGAAAAATATATAATATAAAATATAACATACAAAATATGTAAAAGGTAAGACAATATAATTTTAAAAATATTAAATTATGAGGAATTACAATTTATTTTATATTTAACATAAAAACACGTATTATATAAATATAGTAGAAATCATTAGATTGGTATTAGTAGGTATTCATGTTTTCAACAATCCTTGGAAAACGAGAGGAGGGAAATTTGTTGTGCGATTACATGGTCTTAGTAATAACTCTTCCCCAGTCTTGGTAATTGGCATATTTCGATGATAGCTGACTAATTCACCTAAAAAAATATATTATGTAATAAACGAGTGTACTGCACAAAACCGTATGATTTGGGTAATCGGTACTTAGTGCAACAATTAATAATTTATAATTGCAATATAATTGTATATTTTATAATAATATATGAGTATTGAGTATATCTATTACAAAATAAATTCAATTTCAGTAATCTTTGAATAATTAAATGAAAAGATATAAGTATATAATTACTTAAATATATTTATCATACCTATTTAAGTGTAAAATCTTTAGACTATATAATATAGATATAGCATAGATATTGGTACGTCCTATACTATGTACCAACTAAACATGATTTAAAATTGATAGATAAAATCACATGTATTTAATTAAATGTCCATAGGAAAAAAAAATAAAGATAAAAGGAAAACATCATTGTAAGATCAACAAATTATTTGTTTCACCTAGAACTTAGAATTGTAAATAATAATAAAATAGATACCTAATTATTTATTTATTAGAATACATTTTCCTTTTAATATTCTGGCTGTTTTTCTATATATAGTTTCCCGTTTTAATACTTGTTATTTAAATTACTTTTAAGTCCTATTTTTTTTTTAAATAATTTTTTTTTTTTTTTTTTTAATAAAGTGTTACTGACAACGAGGTCATCTAACTTATTGATAGAATAGAATTTTTAACATGCAAAAGTAGTTATAAATAAATAAGTAAATACAATAAATTGGTTATTTACAAAGATGAGTAGCTAGATAATAATAAAAAAAAAATGTGACGTTGTAATAATTAGTTAAACTACCTAGGTGTAAAATTTTTTTTCTTAAAAGTATATACATATATTATTGACGTTGAGATAGGGCATCATGAGGACGTCCGCGCTTGAGACGTCGGAGGGTAGGCTTGTCGTTGAGTTTGAAATATTTTGCACTTTTGGCGTTGTTTAGTTGGCCAAAGAAGTTGACTGAGAGATTCTGTATGTAGGATTTAACCATCGGGAGTCTGAAGTCTGTATGAAGTGCTTCGTTTCTGACGAACCACGGCGCGTTGGATATTATGCGTAAAATCTTGGACTGGAAGACTTGAATTTTATTTATGTGAGTTTTGGCACAGTGTCCCCAGATAGGGGCAGCATAGAGTATTAATGGTCGAAGAATTTGCTTATAAAGAAGCATGGAGCACTTCCAGCTTAGGGCGGTTTGACGGTTGATTAAGGGATAAAGAATTTTAAGTCGTTGGTAGCCTTGTTGAAGTTTCGAAAAAATGTGAGGGTTCCAGGTTAATTTTTTGTCTAAGATAACTCCTAGATATTTTATTGTTGGAGACCATGATATGATGTCGCCATTAAGTACTAGAGAGGGAGGGTTATTGGGACGACGTTTTTAAATAATAATTCATAATCAAAAATTATTCACTAAAAGTTAGTATTTTATTCTTTTAGCTATATAAAACATTTTATTTAAAATTTGTTATTTAAAATAATTTGAAATAACTCACTCAATGTGTTGTGAGATATTTGATTAGTCCCTAAAAACTGATAATGACCATTAGATGCATCTACCAAATAATGTTTGCAGCAATCATGATCTTTGTATGTGATGGCGTAGCCCCAAATTCGTTCGGATAATCGAACTAGAAAGCTACCCACTGGTTCGTTGATGAGTAAAATCTCTGCTTCTTGTCGTGTTATGAGACCTAATATAAATTGATAAAAAGTAAATAACTGTGAACACATAACTCATATACTAGTATAACATATTTATTGCTATTTAAAACTAAGGTATACCGTGGAACCAAGTGGCTATGGCATTTTTATCTTTTTCAAATCCAGCTCTTCTGGGAATTTCTTTAGCTCTAAACCATTCAACAACAGCTTTTTTACTTGGTGGCTTGGAGGAATTCGGCACAAACACTACACTAAAATAAAAAAAAAATGTCTTTTAATAACTATATAATATTAAATTATAAAATATACAGTTTTAAATTTAAATATGAATATACATAATAGGTATATGATACCTACTTAGAAGGTTTTTCTGAAGTATTTAGAAGTGATCTTCTATGTTCTTCTCTAGCTTGACGTGCAATTTGGCGAATTTGTAATTCAACTTCTTTAGCTTTTTGCTCTAAAAATATTTAAATTTAAATTATTATGAATATTTTTTAACTAGCAACTGGAAAATAGCAAGTATTCCAAAAAAACATGTTTTAATATTGAACTTGGAAAAAAATCTTTCTTGTTATTATAAATTATAATGAAATTGATATTATATTATTTGTAAAAAATTAACTTATTATTTATACAGAAAAAACGTATTTTTGTTATTATTCACGAGTCATGAGTACCTAATTATTAATTGATAGGTATATATAGGTTTATATATGTCGTATTATATTCCGGGTATTCATAGAGACACGCTTGAATGCCATAATTTTACTATAAATGTATAATACCTACGTAACTTATTGGAACATTTAATGAATAACTAAATATTTAAAATTAACTACCAATTTGCTATCTATCTATAATATGTAAATATTAAATTCTATATTGAATGTATAACTTATAATTTAAGTGTCATATTTATTGAATAACCTAACTTAAATTAACTTATATAATTTATAATTTATGTATTATATAAATAACAATATACATATATATATATATAGGTACCTAGTAAGTATAAGTACTGTCAGCATTTAGACCATAATAATATAAAGTATGAACCATTTGTACCATGTATAAAAACATACCTACGTTTATGATAAAATTGACAACAAATATTTCTTATAAAACATTAAAATTATAAATTAATTATTGTACAGAACTTCCAATCAAATTCTAAATTAAAATATCTTCATATTTCAATATGTTATTTATTCGTATCTAATTCAAACCTTGTTTTTCTAGAATTAAGCCATTTTATTAAACCGTTTTCATTATTCTAAGCAAATGCAAGATAGGGTAAATTAGAGAAGATATTAAAACACAATTATAGTTTTAATGTACAAGTTAAATGGATTTTACCTTTAAGTTGCCTAACTAGGTATTGCTATTAAACAATTTCTACAGATAATTACATATTTCGAGTTTACATCTAAATCTCTAATAAATGTCTAAGTTTTAAACAATTTTAATATAAATAGTATATCATATAAGTTAATATGATTTAGGTTACTATAGTTCTTAATTATTGTGTATTAATAGTTTAGTTATAACTCATAACTTATAAGACTTACCCAATTGGAAATCTAAGCCAATATTAATGTACATAATTCCAATATAGTTGCTTAATATTGTAAAATAATTTAACATCAAATTCTTTAAACATTAATACAAACTATTTTACTATTATATTATATAATATAACTAACTATTATAATAGACCTAGACTTTAGATCTAGAGGTTCCTTAACTTTTCATGGTACTACCCATTTTAACAATTTTTTTAATTTCCTTGACCCAGACATCCACAACATTGAACTTTTTTTATGTTTCATTGTTGAAAGTTATCTTTTTGATAACTATTAGCATTGAGTAAATATTGTTTACCTATATTATATACTCAATGCTATTAGGCATGTCACCGTGGCACATTCGTAATATTAGTGGATAATGAATAATGATCAATTATGATGAAACTAAATTCGAACATCAACGAAAATTAATTAATGTACAATGTAATTACATGAAAAATACTGTGTGGGTACCCATTAAATACTCATATTTATACAAAAAATATATTATCTTTTCTTTTAATATGATATGTTTTTGGGCTGGGTTTAAATCTTTGTTTTTTTGTGAGCCCGATTTTTGTAACGCTTTGTTCATTGCTATAAAAACGCAAATCAACAATTAAACGAAAAAAAGGTGGACAAGTGGTTACCGCTCTGCTGTACAGTAGTTGTAATGGATGTGTTATATTTGAATACAATGAAAGGTAAACCATTGTATACGAAATTCGATTCTGAGCGGTTAGCATAGTCCTTATAATATTATTATTTTTTATTCATTGGTATACGGTGATATAAACAAAACCCATTTTTAGCGGTTTTTCGTAATTGGTCGTTAGTTTTTCTCAACGCTCTCTAAAACTACTTAGAATTTTCAATTTTGACCTCCCAAAAGTACCAGCTAGGTTCACATTTCTATCAGAAAAGATGCTGATCTCAAAAATCGAAGCATGATTACTATCTAAAACGTTGCTGACAGACAGAAAAAAAACACACATCATTGCAAAACCAATAGGTACATTCTTTCGCTCCGCTCAGAATCTAAAATGTATTAAATTAAATTCCTAACAAAATGTTGCATGTTACTAGATATTTTTGTACGTATATTTCATAGTGATCTAGCTAATGCTAAATATTTTATATTATACAAAAACATAAATGTGGCGCGGTGCGGTGGCTTCAATCAATCACGCAACGTGGTTGAGAGTAAGTAACGTCCGCTGCCACTATAGTTCCCGGATGGTCACCCATCCGGGTTCGTAGTGGAAAAACCTTGCCATACATACACATGTTGTTATTAAACCGTACCAACCCTATCAACCTTTACAGGCTAATGACCTCAGTCGTCGAACCTTAATCTAATAAAAAAAAACATAATCATTTTATAAATTTAAGCGTCCCACCAAAAATATATTCACGACCCATAGTTAGGAAACCTTTGATATAAAGTATATAGGTAGTAATAGGTATAAGAATTTGACATTAATTCATTTTAACATACCACTTTTAAGTTGTACACTTGTTACATATAACCTTATAAGTTATGACTAATAAGTAATAAGTATAATAATTAATGTGAAGTACCTACGTGGTAGCGATCCATAATGTATTATAATATTATTATATTGTAGTATTACAAATTACAATAGAACCTATGATACTATCAATAGAATTAATTAATTTACTCAAAAAAGTAGGTCTATATTGTTTGTTAAAAATATTATTTATGCATCATGTATGAGTATTGTGTTCATATAGGTATTATTTAAAATAAACGAATTTCAATGTTTCTAGATTTTATATAATTTTTTTTTTTTTTTCATTGATCATTAAGCCGGCAACTATGGCCATTAGCTGTTTTTTTTGTTTGTTTGTTTGTTTGTTTGGTTTGTAGGGGAGGGAACTGTTGGTTTGTAAACACGTGTGTTTGTGGTGGCAGAATTTTTATTGGGGCACCCGTAGGTTTCTGCCATGCCCGGGAGTGGGGGGATGGCAGCACTTGTTTTCCGGACACCGTGACTTGCCCGGGAAAAAATGCCGCCCGGTGGTCGAGAATCGAACCCGCGACTGCCAGCGCCGCGGCCGACGCGTTAGACCGCTCGGCCACCTCGTCCCCCTTATATAATTTTAATTTAATATAATATTATGAGTTCAAATACTATTTAATAAGTATAATATCGTTCTGCTATTTCCAGAGCTATTTTGCATAATATGTAACTTATCACTTTATCAGTTCACTATTCAGTTTAATCAGTACCTAGGTATTATAGATTATTGTAATTAGTCATAAGTTCAAATTTAAAAATAGTATTACAATAACAATTTATTGTAGCACATGATTCATATAATGTAATTTATTACACATTTACACAAGTAAAAAATGTAATTCATGACATATTGACATGAATGTTTAGATAAATATTTTATTTGTATTATGACGCTTATGAGTATATATTTTTATTTGTTACGTCTTATTGCTTAGTGCTTACTTTGTTCTCTCCAAACAATTTCTTGCTTTTTATCTGCTTCTTCGGCTTGTCTCTCTTCTTCTTCTTTTTTATTTTTCATTTTGTTATAGATTTCCGATGTCCGTTCTTCCATTACTCTATGTTCCCAATTTCTCACACGCTCGGACACCTGTACAACAGTTCATTGAACTTTATATTCAGGGGCTCATCGAACGATTGGTTCCACTCACAGGTATATACGATATACAATTAGTGATACAAAACATAGTACATACACAATATGATCAGAAGGCTATATTATACATCATATATTATGTTATATAGTATAATGCTAAGTATCATTCATTTAATCATAATATATATATTCTCATAGACTTAGGTTATTTTATTATTATGAGGTATAGTATAAACTAAATACTTTGTTGAATGACAGTTCTTTTAAAGCCCCACGCATTGGTTGAGTGGCCACACATGGTTTTCTCGCATTTCTAGCGTTCAGTTCTTCTACGGAACAGTAAATCTCTTCAGTTGCATGCGAATATTTATTTTCAGAAGGATTAAATTGAGTCTTTGCTTTGTTTTCCAACATTGCCATTAATTCAGATTCCACTTTTAATCTAGAGTGATAAAAATTTAAAATAAATTACAGTACACTTTAATTGATTAATAATTATTTTAATAATTAACCTATTTTATTTAAACTAAAAATCGATTACATAAATATCGATAGCCGATAGGTAATCGGTATTATAATTCATATAACTTATAAATTCTAATAAATGGTATATTCAATTTTCATATATATTATACTAATTTTGTAAATGCAAAAATATTATAAAAATGAATATGAGACGCGTAGTTGGATTTGTTCCTTGGAAGGGGGGTTGGATAATTTGTTAGACAAATATCAGATGGGTGGCTTTGCTCCCTACGACCCTACCCACAAAATTCCAATCATATCTTTTTTTTTCAAAAATATTTTAAACTTTAAGGAAATTCGATACCGTGATTTTCTATCGTTGTCTAACACACGCGTGTCATAGGATTTTAGACGTGTTATTTGCCAAACAAATTGATCTAATGAAGCGATAAGAATTCTAAAAACAGATTTGATTTTTCGACAAGTCTACTTCAAATTGACTTTCCCGAATTTTTGATTTTAATTTCTTCAATAATTGAAATATTACAATTTTTTAATTACTCTTTTTTAATATAACGTTTTTAGAAATTTGTGGGATAATATTAAAAATGTAGGAAAGTTGATTTCGAGTAGACTTGAGGATAAATCAAAATCTGTTTTCAAAAATCTTATCGCTTCATTAGATCAATTGGTATGTTTGGCAGAGAACACGTCTAAAATCCTATGTCACGCGTGGGTTAGACAAAGACAGAAAATCATCGGGTAGATTCCCTTTAAAGTAATGATAATTAAATCAGTATGGTATTTTTTTTTCGGTATCATCACTTGGAGTGACACAATTTATACATTATTCATTACTTTCTGTAAAAATATAATGTTATTACCCACCGTACACTGCGTACAGTATTCATAAATAAATACGAACCGCAATTGTTCAGTCTCGTGTTCTGCTTGTATTCTTGCAGCTTCTCTAGCCTCTTCTTCGATTATTTGCTCAATAGTCTTATCATCCTTATGCTCACCCATGATCCATGTCCAAGGATTACCATTTGTATCTAACATCCATTGTACTTTTTTACTATCTACAATACAACCCAGTTAATTTAAAATTAATCAATTATAGGAACACACAATATATATATTTTCTATATATGTACATTGAATTTTACTTTTTTGTCGTTTTGGATATGCGGGTTTTATGCTTTCGGTTTTATCCCACACACTCCAACGTCGCACTTGTTCTTCGCGCATTCTGCAAAATAGAGTTTGTTTTTGCGTTTCGTCTAATTCCGCCAGCAGCTCTGGATCAACGTACATGTCTTTGAGAATCTGCTGAAGCATGGTGAATCTAAAATTTAAAAACAAGCAATTTAGATGGACTGTTTAATAGTTTATTACAGTATTTTGCTAGTTAAACTATGGATAATTGATTTTTTTCTACAGGTACATTTAATTCATTTTCTTTTTATCACGCACCGTTTCGCCAACTCGGAGTGAAAGTGAACATACTGTATTTTATAATTTGTTTTTATTTTTAGATTGCCAAATAGGTATACAATAATTGTTTTTTTAATATTACTAAATATAAATTTATTACAACAAATTTTATATTATTTTATTCTAATTATTAGATACCATCCATGTTCTGCCTAAAGTTTTCTTTTACATAATGATTTATTTGGTATATTATAGTTTTGTTTATTATAATAATAAGTGGCACATATTAAATATCAATGAAATTATATTCATAAATCAAAATTGTTTTGACCAATTACAAATGTTAGATATAAATATAATAACAATTAAGAATTGTAATCGATTAAGTATTTTAACTGCTGTTTATTTTAATTTAATTCATGTAGGGTTAATGAGTACAACTCATTTCGGTTCTGCTTGGCTGATGATGACATGTTTAAAAGATACCTACCTAATCATTTTAATAATGAAGATCGTTTACGCAATCGTATTACTATTTAGTATTTATTATAAAATAGAGAAAGTAACATGTATTAACAAAAATATTATGTATATTATATATTGTTATGTTTATTCAGTTATTCCTTAATCTCAGATAAAAAAAAATGTTGTTCGTTTCGGTCTTTTGAGTTTTAACTACCATATTGTAGCACATAACCTATGTTATCAATATTTTGTGTTGTACACAATTAATATATTAGTACGAAATTGGCATTAATATATCACAAAAGTAGAATTAAAATTTACACAATATATAGTCCGAAAATGTGTTCTGCAGGATCTATTTATCTGGAACATAGAATAGTTCTTTGTAGGTACTCAATATTACAATATGTATCTAATTGGCTACTCTTACGTACGTATAGACTTCAGTAAAATTTAAATTCAGTAATATTTATAGTATATACTTGTTAAACACACATAGTATAATAATATAATCTAATACATTAGTACATAATATATGGCGGTGTTATTCAACCAGGGTCACTTCCGCATCAATATTTCAGTATAAGGTATACCTTGGTATACCTATACATATAAGAAAGCGTGTCAGGGCTAATATATAGGAGCTTAAAACACAACATTTACGTCATTACTCGTTATTGATAGTTACGATATTTATCCTATTGTTACACTTCAAAATTGAAACGATAATCAGTTCTTTATTGACGGGTTTATAAGGCACTTTATTACACATGAATATATATACGCGATGGCTACGACATACGTCTGATGTCATGTTTCAAATAATATTATAATTTATAGGTACATATACTGCTATAGGTACCTACCTTTTTTTGTTTCTAAGAAAGTGAATATTTACAAAGTCAATACAGTATGTGCCTACCTAATACATATAAAATAAGATACAAGGACTAGGTGACTATTGAGTGTTCATTGACATTACATAAAATAGGTACATATTTTGTGTAGGAATAAGATGCACTTAATAGTTAAGAAATTATATGGACCATTTACCCTTGGTAAAGCGTTAACTGCTAGTTAAACCTATACAAAAAATAAATTAATTACGAATAGTATAATGGTTGTTGCCTAGAGCATATTATAATATTTAGTCACCCTAAACGTACTAAACAATATATAAACCACAACTGTTGTAAACTTAATTATTTATATTTTTGATTTACAAATATCTATTATACATAATGTTTAAACATTTAAAATTAAATGTTGTGTATAGGTAGTTAGTCATTATTAGTTGGTAAAAATGTCACTGGTCAGTGGTCGCATTCATACGCAATATTTAAACTAGAATATGCCACCTGACATAGTGACATTTTTATCCATTAACCATTATTATAGGTAAGCACCTATACATAATATACATCTACAAAAAATATTTATAGGTCCCATTTATAAAAGGCTTAATCGAATATAATTAGTATAATAACATTAATTTAATACATTTTCTTTTTAAAATAATAGGAAAAATCATAAAAAAAATAACAAAAATGGTAATTTTAACGTAAAACCAGTTTTTAGAATATATTATAATATATTAGCATTTCCAGTGATTTCCTATACATGATGTAATTTTTATTATAAAATTTTTTATAAACATTATACGGTTTGGACTTTTTTTTATCGATTTAAGTATAAAACATTTTTTTGTTAGTCAAACAGTTCAAATATTTAATGCAACATCTCTCATAAGTTATTCATTTAGCAATTAAAAAATATCGAAACTAGGTCCATGGTCAAAATTTTATTTTGAACGTTTGAAGTTGAATCTGAAAAAATTGGATAACTATTTAAAAGAAAAAGAAGCTGTGCCGGTGGGTGTCGCTCTGCTGTATAGTAGGTTACAAGTGTGAAGTGGGTCACTGCATTACTGCAATGGATGGTGTTAAATTTGAACACAACGATAGTACAATATAATTGTACAAGAAAAACGATTCTGAGCGAAGACGGTCAAACAAAGTATATTTGATGATATTATTGTGAATAAAGTAATTTATGTATAATCTATTTACGTATTACGTGGAACCTCGTTTTAAATTTTCAATCCTTAGCTATAAAAGTTGAACATTTTATAAATTTTTAACTACAAAAATATAAAATAAATATTTAATTTTTTTTGATATAGGTATACGTTCGATTTAAAAAGAAAACATTTTATGAATTTCTAGATCAAAATAATTTAATAATTTTTGTGATTTTTACGTATTTTGTTAAAATTTGAACTTTAAATACTTATAAGAAAAATTGTGACTATGTATTTTTAAAAATTTTTAACTGCCATTGTAACTATATATTAGAATCCTTGTATTAAATTTTCTAGCTTTTTTTGACATTTATAGAAAAAAAACTAAAATCATTGGAAACTTAAAATGTCTGTAAACATATCAAACCGTATTAAAATATTTTGAAACGATTTTTGCGTATAGAAAATTCGAATATAAACATTCAGTGAAAATTTTATATATCTACAGTCATTTGTTTTAGAGATACACCAAAAACCAAAATCGATTTTGTGCCAAAACCAAATCATTGTAAAATATTACAATCATCTCTCCGCTGAGAATCTAAAATATTAATCTTAGAGACTTAACTTTTCGGTATTATACCTACAATCTACATAATATAATGTAACCCTACATATACCCATTATTATAGTTTTTACTTTTTATACACAATGATATTTTAAAAATATTTAGAATAAATTAAGCTTTAATTATAATTTATACTACGGACCCCATTCACCTCGTTCTTCGGTAATAATAATATATAATATTAATATTTTAATAATGAATAATATAATTGGTTCATTATTATTGTTAATATCCTCCAGAGTGGTACTACTATAAGATTATTATAATTATTATTCCTACCTATATTATTGCTATTATTTTTAATTAATCGTTTATCGCATCATATATTATTATTTTTGGCATGATTGTAGATGAAACTTTTGCGGTTTGGTTGTTTCTGGAACAGATCACGGCACCTCCGGTCAACAATCTATCATAGAACACGGGTTCGTCACTACGATGTTATCACCGACCAGTTGCGTATACAAGCGCATTCGACCGACCAACAATCAACTAGTCTTTCATCTGAGCCATCCGGGCAGACCAAAGGTACCTACGCGGTTTAGTTGAACGATTTCACGGATTCGTGCCGTGAGTGCTCTCCACTCGTAGTAAGAAAGATCAATTCGTGCGGACCCTATAGGTACATGAACCGACCAACGGCCGATGTCTGTAATCGATCTCACGGACGTTACTTTTCTTTCTTTTTATTTTTGTACAAGTATTAATTGAATTCTTCAAACTCTTTTATTCATTTTTTTTGCTCATCAGTAGTAATCTTCAAATAATCATACTCTTTGTAACAAAACACTCAAATGTTTAAACTTCAAACTCACACCACTTCAAAACCTTGAACTTTTATCGCTCTCTCACTCTTTTTTCTCCCTTTGTTATTTTTTAGTCCATCAGTCACATTAAACAATTATTACTCTAACTCTAACACATATATTTAATACATTCGAGGTTTTGGACTATTTTTTTACTGCTAGAAAAATAAATTATTAATAGGCAATAGTAATATAAATAAATTCTAAAATATTCTTAAAAATAGAAACTAATGAACCCACGGTCTCCGCCCATTTTGCAATGATTTATCATTTAATTCAAATTGAACACATTCATTTTGACCTACTCAATGAGCAATGACAATATAGTACCTAATCTAGAAACATTTACTATATAAAGCCGACCGACTTCCCCGGTTTTTTAAACTATAAACCTTGATCTTGGTACCTACTTAGTATATAAATGTAGGAATTACATGAAATAACAAATAATGTAACCTATTGATTATAATTTAAACTACCTAATTATTACACAGAATACTTAGTTCTCACATAATATATAAACACTCGATCGTGCATTAAAATGTTGGACATTTTTACTATTAATGCGCATTGCGCACCTATAAGTTGTGCAATAATTATAATGTTACTACCTATACATATTATAATATTAAATTAGATTATAATACTACCCACGTTGTATTATACGACTACGTAATATTAATATGGACGTAGCACATTTTGTTTCATTTATGATGAGTAATAATCCGAGTTAAATGATATATTATGTTTATATTGCCATATACAGCTATATTATACTATTACCTATATGCGTATTATATATTATACACACACACACGCATATCTGCATAAATTTGTTTGATAAGACGTACTTACATTCATTGTGGATATATGCGTTGCATTTTTGTAATCAAAAAGGGAAAAAAACGGATGACGATTAAAATGAACAATATATTATCACTAATATTAGTGGGAAGCAACAAATAAAATACGTGTAATAAATCAA